GTGGTAGATACGTTCCACTTTATATGAATTTCACGTTGTAGGAATCCTTAAATACATGAGCCAATCACAGTCCGGCACGTGTGCAGTTTACGGACTAAGGCTGTTTGAAAGGTTTTCTTCCATGAAATTAATCGATTCTAGACTAATTTGACACAACATTTCCAAAATATGTATAATTTTTTGGGAATAATCCATATAAACTATGCTATAGACAAGAAATTGTAGGATTACTTACCGAGTCTGTACCGTTCGACGACGTCGTTGCTTAAGCTTATTTTCGTCGCGGAGCGGTGCTTAACAACAAAAACAAGCTTAAGCAATGACGAAAGTTTTCTGATAAGTTATTTTTCTGCAAAAAATTTGCTGAACTTTGGAGACATCATTAATAAAAATAATTTTTATGGCCGTTGAATAAGAAATGTTTTTTTCACAAGAAATGTATAAAGATTTATCAATACATATTTTCTACCTTTTCTTTTATGAACTTATCGTTTTGGCAAATGAGCAGCTCACATACAGTTTACTTATGCATAAACATACACTTATACAGATACTTAACAAAGATGTAAAATAAATATTTAATATGTAAGAGTTAAAATATATTTTCTCTTCAAAACAAACAAATATTGAAATTAATGCAAAATGAATAACAAAACATTTTTAAATGAAAGAAGCAGTTACACTTTTTTTTTTTTAGAATATTCCTATATTCAAAAACAAAATGAAACACCTTAACAATGAAATGATATTATAAACAGACAGTTTCAATAAATTTAACAAAACGTCTTTAGGTTAAAAGTAAAATAAAAAATTAAAACCTGACCTGAAGACAACCTACTAAATGGAGTTATTAGCTAAATCTGAATTAAAGCATTAGTTTGGAATATAATCTATCCATTGTTTAAGTGTTTTGTTTTATCTCTAATTTTAGTATTGAATACTTATTCTCAAATGTGTACAAACTGTAAATTAAAGCTATATTCCATTTTTAAAAAAAATAAATAATCTATGTTCTCT